CTGAAGGACTTATAAAATGCAGATTACCACACCCCCATGGTTCTGATTCAGTAGGCTTAGAATGGCATGAAAAAGATCTATTTACAAGCACCCCAGGTAATTCTTCTGTAAGTGGTTCATGGATCACTCTGAAAAAACACTATGATAGCAATTCTTGCCCAAAGGTGAAAACAAATCAAGAGCATAAAGTCCAGAACTGGGAGTCAGAAACCCTGGGCCCTATTCTCCGCTCTGCCCTGATTTGCTACATGAATCTTTGCTAGTAGCTTAACTTCTTTGAATGCCATTTTCCCCAACAGAAAGCCACATTTACAATCACTGTTCAGCATGGTAAGAATAAATGACACAATGTCTGGTGAAACTTTGGGGAACTTTCCAGGAATTGCATGATTTCCAGAGAAGACAGTTGTTTTTAGAAAGATATCTCCCTTTCCTGGAATCAAGTTCTTAGTGCTGTCTCCAGTGGTGGTTTTCATTCACCTTGAAATATATAGCATTAGGACCTTACACGGAGAAAAGTACGGGTGCCTGTCTGGGTGTGCTGAATCCTGTCCCCTTAAAAACTATCCAGGATAATGGTTCTCATTTAGGTTGGGGAAAGGGAACACAGCATACACATCAGAGTCAATGGGGAGATTTTCAAAACCCACAGCCTTCCACCTGTTGCTGGATATATCAGAATGGAAAGGAGGGCTGGAGAATTGGGGGAGAAGTCACATTTTTTAAGCACTCCAGGTTACTGTGAAACATTCCCTGCTCTACAAAGATTCTTGACCTCCCTGGAGTAAACCAATCCAAGACCTTACACTTTTTCCTTTCCTGCCAAGAAATTCCTTATATTTACTTCTCACCTATTTCTTCTTTGTTTAGCTCTCACTGAAGATAGAAAATTACTCACAAGCATCTTGCATATGTATACACAGGGGAATGAATGTGAATAATAGCCATGTTCTCAAGGACTGGGGGCCAGCTAGTTGGAAACCTCAGCATCCCCAGGGTTGAAATAATCTCCTGGCCAGATGTTTCCTTCACCGGTTGGAACAGGGCACAAAGCTCCCAGTGGAAGACTCTCTGGACCCCAAGCTTGTCCAGCTGGATCAGCTGCAGATGGAGCAAATGGGACCCAAGGGCCCCATCAGGTCACCTTGCTGAGTATGACTCAGGCCAGCAGCTCTTTATTTCTTCCTGTCTCTCCCACTTCCCACCGCTCATCTCTGTGGGCAGCCGCTAGACCGGGGAACAAGAGTTGGGCAGGGGGAGGAGGGAGTTCTTAATGGATACTCCATCTCTTCAGTGGTTTGGGGTCTGGCAAAGATAAACCAAACCTGATATTAATTGGCTCCTCCTCCTGAAGTATTTCAGTTAATGCACTAGCTGCCGAGAAGCAGCCAGGCCTGGAGCAGCAAAATCAATTCCCCTCGGCTGAACAAGCTTAAACTTAACTCCACAGATCGTTCTCTTGTATCTTTTATCCATGGAGCTCAAAATGCTGTTCAGGCTTGGCTTCCTGCCACTCACTTGCAAAGGCTGTCTTTGAGGGTCAGACCCAAGATCTCAGAAGAGCCTTGGTTAACGGTCATGTGCCAAGGGGCTCCCAGAAAATATGGTACACGCAGTCTTCACAATTCCCTCACATTTGAAAAGGAAGTAGGAATGGATTAGTTGGTCTGTGTTACAGATATGGAAGCTGTGGAGGTCTAGCGATCTGGCCACTATCATCCTCCAGACCAGGGATAAGCCTGGTATATACCTGAGTCTTGACCCTTTCCATGACTACTGTCAAATGGCACTTTATTTTTGAAACTAAGAAGACCCTCATCTAAATGGAACACTGGGACCATGTTCCTATGACAATGGTCAATGGAGAATATAGAATGACAGAAGCATAAGAGATGAAAATACCACTCAGATGTTTTGACTCCCACTGTAAGACAGTCAAGGAGTCTTGGTGGCTCAGTGGTTAACAGCTTGGCTGCTAACCAAAAGGTCGGCAGTTTGAATCCACCAGCTACTCCTTGGAAACCCTATGGGACAGTTCTACTGTGTCCTTTATGGTCATTATGAGTTGGAATCGACTCAACGGCAACAGGTTTACAGGTAAGACAGTCAAAGCTCTGCCCCACTCAGCCTATGGGTGTCTGTTATGGATTGAATGGTGTCCCCAAAAAATGTGTGTCAACATGGCTAGGCCATGATTCCCAGTATTGTGTGATTGTCCACCATTTTGTCATCTGATGTGATTTTCTTATGCGTTGTAAATCTTACCTCTGTGATGTCAATGTAGCAGGATTAGAGGCAGTTATGTTAATGAGGCAGGACTCAGTCTACAAAATTAGGTTGTATCTTGAGTCAATCTCTTTTGAGATATAAAAGAGAGAAGCGAGCAGAGAGATAGGGGGACTTCATGCCACCAAGAATAGAGAACTAGGAGGGGAGTGCATCCTTTGGACCTGGGGTCCCTGTGCTGAGAAGCTCCTAGACCAGAGGAAGATTGAAGACAAGGACCTTTCCCTAGAACTGACAGAGAGAAAGCCTTCCCCTAGAGCTGGCACCCTGAATTTGGACTTCTAGCTTCCTAAACTGTGATAGACTAAACTTCTGTTTGTTAAAGCCATCCACTTGTGGTATTTCTGTTATAGCAGCACTAGATGACTAAGACAGTGTCCAAATCTCCATTACCTTCCCACATCGCCCCTCAACAATTTCTTTTAAGTTTCTAGACCTAGGAGGCGAGATCAACTAAAATACACCATATGGAGAACCATAAGGGTTTTGTAAGAGTCTCAGTCAAGTCGATAAGCAGAAGCAAGCTGGAAGTAGGAGCCACTGTTAATACTCAGTGTCTGATTGAGGCTGCTGTTACTGACCCTCTGATTCCTTCCAGTTAGCCTCTCCTTGACCTTTGCTGGAAACTCTTAGAAACGCAAGTGGGGCTAAGTTGTCACCCAAGTCAAAAGAGAATTCTGGGTGCTACCAGCCCTGCATGGAAGCCTGGAAAAAAAAGAAAGAATGTCAACTGGCCTAGCTTTGACATGTCCAACTTATCACCACATACACTACTCACTGCCTTAGCCATGCACTCATTCTTTCTACAGTTACTGAACACCTTCTCTGTGCCAGTCACTGAGCTGAGCGCTGGGTTTACACACATGAATTTCAAGTACCATCCCTTTCTCCTGCTAGCCAAGTGTCAATTCCTGAAGTAATGTGTCCATAGAAGTATATAACCTTTAGGATTACCTTTTACCTGCATTCATGGGCTATAGCATGCCCATGGATGCAGGTAGAAGGTAATCCTAAGGCCCATTTGTGATTGTCTCAGAGGTCCCAAAGGGAGGTCAGATCATTGGCTTGGACTAGCCTTAGAATTTGGTTTGGTACCATGGTTTTCAAGGGGAAGAAAGAAACTAATCTAACTCTACTTTCCAATGTGGCCAGAAAACCAGTAGTGCCTAAAAAGGAAAAAAAAAAAAAAAAAATCAGAGATAAGGGAAGCTAGAATGATATTTCAGATTTAAAACTTTTACAATGGGTCTGAGGAAAGAAGAAACCAGAAAACATCACCTTAACTGGTACGACAAATGAATCTGGTGCTTTTCATAAGCAAGCCAGAAAACCACAGTACCTCAGCACAGGATTTCTCAACTTTGGCATTATTGACATTCCGTATCAGATAATTCTTTGGTTTGAGGGAGGGGAGGGTTGTCTTGTGTACGGTAGGATGTTTAGCAGCATCCCTGGCCTCGATCCCTTGGATGTCAGTAGCACCCCTCTAAGTTGTGATAACCAAAAATGTCTCCAGAAATTGCCAAATGTCACCTATGGGACAAAAGCAACCCCAGTTCAAAACCACTGCCTTAGCCCATCACTACCATCTCACCACAAGGCCACCTGAATGTAGTCATTGGAGAGAAGAAAGAAAATAAGATCTCAGCTATATTCCCAGTGGACAAATTCAAGGAAAGTGAAGCACAGGAGAGGTCATGCCGTTGGTCCACAGCCGCAGAGCTACTTGGTGAAAGAGTCAGAAGTAGAATCCAGGTTTCCTGGCTCTAATCACCCACAGTATGCTGCTAATGGAGACGGTGATGATAAAGAACGAGGTAATGATTCTAAAATTCAGACAGCAACAACAACAGCAAAAACAAACTTCAGCAGTAGGTTCTGCCAGCACATTTTCCCAGTGCCTCATACAGGTCTACAAAATAGCTCTCATATTCATACACATATTTGCCTGTATCTGTCTACTCTTGTTTTTCCTTTCCAGAAAGTTCAAATTACACAACTCCCATTGCCTTACTGCAGTTGGCCATTTTTATATTTTGCTATTTCTTAGTCTATCCACCCACTGCCAGCATCCCAGTTTCCCTACACTAAAATTAGAGGGAGCTTAAAAGAGAGAAAAGACAAGTGGGTGTGTCAGGACCACAAAAACGCTGAGTAGAACTGTTCATGAATACCAAACAGGGCTAGTCTTAGATGTAGGGCAACTAAGCAGTAACCTCCTATCAGTTTGGTACCTCACACTTTGCTATTAGATATTTGTTTCTTTGGTGAGGACTGTTCATTGAACTCTTGACTGTAATTAGCACCTGTGTTTATCAGATCACTGTCCTCTAAGATAACCACCAAAGAGCAGGGATCTCAGAGATCAAGTTTGTTTTGGAGCAGTAATACTACAGTATATGTTTCTGCCCTTGGAAGGCAGCTCCAAATAATATTCTGCAATGAGTATCTTGCAGGTAGGAAAAAGTGTCAAAAATGAAGGCTAAGCAACAGAGATCAACTCTGCTATTGGCCAATTTTTCTATAAATGAAAACTCTGATGTAGATTACACATTGGGAAATCCTATACTAGGTATTTCAAAGGAGTCCCCATCCATGGCCTTAGAGCTGGACTTAAGGAAAGGAGTGAGAGCAGATTTCCACATAAGGTCACACTTCCTACTTTCTTCTCTAAAGCCCCCCAACCTACCCAATTCCAGGGACCCAGGTCTTACCTCCCACAAACTGTGCTGCTCCCATGCAACGTCCCATCATTCTGGAAATGAGCTCTTCCATGCAGCAGCCCAGGACAGCAGCTAGTGCCACAAGAAGCAGCAGAGCACAGCCGGCACCTGTCACCACCGTGCACATCTGCCAGGCCAGGCTTGGAATGGCACTGAAGCTGGCGTAGCGCCCACACTCTTCCACCATGATCAGACTGTGCCCTTCTCCCCGCACAGGGTAGTTGCACCTCCGGAAAGTGCTGAATGACACTTGCTTCCCCAGCTGGGATCCAAAAAGCCAGTAAGGCAGGAAGTAACTGGTAGAACTGGCCACAGCAGTAACAAGGGACAGGAAGGCCCAGAGTGTCCCCACCAGGGTCAGGCTGCTCCTCATGGTCCCAGGTTTCTCTGCAGGGATGGGGAGATGAGTTGGGTCACAGCACCAAATTCAGGAAGTTACCATGTAGGCTCTATTGACTTAGTTTTCATCTGGCTGGCCAGTTCTGGAACTCAATAATGTGCCACTTGGCCCTTGCTTCTGGCTAAGATTATTCTCATGAGGACCATTTAGTTCCCTGTGGAATTCTGCTTCCCAGCACTTTTTCCATCTTCCCTTCCTTTTGCCTGATGCAGAGTTCTATGGTCTCTAGGCTGCAATAGAAGAACCACAGAATTGAATTAGTGACTGCTCTGCCAACTCAAATGCAGCCTGATTAGACACCTTTTAATTCTTATCATACAGCTTGGAACAAGTAGCAGGAGAGGAGTTGAATGTAAGCAAGGCTGCCCCGGGTACACTCAGACATCCAGCTAACTGGCCTTGCTGGCCTGGAAGCCTGGAAGGAGGTGGTAGAATCTCAAGAGAGTCAGGGAAAAAGTTGTTTTCAGAGTGAAGGAGGAAGGAAGACAACACACAGGGCCTACCCCTGCTACAAAGGGGGAAGAGGGAAGGAGAGCTCAGCATGGAGTTACATTTGACTTGGGTAGGGTGTCCAACAGGGTGTTAACACAGGCTTTTCAATGGGATACATCAGCCATGTTGAAATGAGTAGAAGAGAATAAGTGATGTCCAGTCTCACACCCTATACCTATAGCTGAGTAAGCACTGTTAAGTCACTTTTCCCACAATCAAAAAGTGAAACAACTTTCCAACCAGCGAGGGTTGTTTAACTCTAGACTGTCTATAAGAAAAGCTGCCTTGTCCTTTTCTGGATATAGTCAAGAAAGCATCTCATCTCTCGGAGATAGATCAGACAGCCCTGGCCCGGCAGCAGGAACACATAGCTGTAAGGACCTCTCAAGGTCACTTCTGAACAAGTAATTCTCATATTTAAGATGCTGAGAGTCTTTCCAGATCTGATCTCCTCAACCCAGCTCACAAACTGTTTTCACAGACCCCTCTGTCAAAAAGCAACTACTTCCCTCTCAACTCCATTAATCTGCCATTGCTTTCTGGCCTGTTTCTTGGTTAGGGCAGCCAGAGATCACACTGCAACTTGATGACAGCACCCGTGAATGTCTCCAGCAGGCAGATGGGGAAGTAGGTTTCAGAAACTTCTTCATGATTCATTCCCATTGTTTAAAGTTACATGTGGTGCTGTCGAGTGGGGGGAGACACAAGGCAGGGGAAGTGCAGGAACTTGCTGTATTGGGGCCACCACACGGCCAATTTGGGACAGTCAGGTTCGAGAAGCAGTTGTACTTAAGTCTCAGGGTCCATGCCCAGCCACAAGCCCTTTCACAACCCTCCTCAAAGAGTACCTGGCCACTGCCTACTAGAATCTTCCATGCAATGATTACCAGCCCACCCTGGTGGCCATAGTAAGTGCCACAAACAAGCCATCCCAGCAACTCCACTTCAGATAGACCTGCCCTGCTGTACCTTATCTGAGCGACTGACCCTGCCAATTGGAGAAGGAGGTGAAAGGTATTGTGACCAAAGACGAGCAAACAACAAAGAACACACAGCCTGCCTGCTCAGACATAGCCAAATAAAACAAAAAAGCAGGAAGAGAGAAATAAATCTACTATCAATAAATGAGGAAAATACCAAATGCGTCAAAGACAACAGACAATATCAAAACATTTACAAAAACAAGACAAGATGGTTACAGTAGGCATCCAAAATAAAACACCAGATACCCTTCCAGTAAAAGAAAAGGCACTAGAACTACCTGAAAGGGAAATCAAATCTCTAATATTCAGAGCTATCCAAGAGTTGAAGCATAAAGCAGACAAAAATGAAGAAAACATACACAAATTCATGGAAAAGGCAGACAAATTCATGGAAAATACGGACAAAAAAATGGAAAAATTCAAGAAAATAATGCAGGAACAAAATGCCAAAACAAATTCACAACTAGAAATCATACAAAAACAACAATTAGAAATCCAAAAGATAAACAACAAGATTTCAGAA